TTTGCCGCTGAGCTAAATCCCCAGCCCCAAGGCTGGTTAAAATCAGGATTTACCTTACAAAGAGTAGGTGAGGCTTCATGGTGGTGGGTCTTAAAGGTGAAAATAAGGAATTTCTCCTTAAAAGATGTATGAGAGTTTTCAGCATGATTTCATTTCTCAAGTCAAGTAGGAATACAATAATTTGATTATTAACAAAAGTCAGAAAACTAAAATAATGAATATATAGTGTATGTTGTCAACATATTCAGCCACTTGATACTGAGGCCCATAGGATAGCTGAGTTTATAAACCTCACTTTACTTAATACCAAATTATATGAGAATCTCATTTGGGGAGCAATGAAGAATTTACTAAAATTTTGAGAATCCAAGCAAAAAGGCTGAGGCAGGAGTATTTGCAAGTCTGAGACTAGCCTGGGCAACTTAACAACTTATGATGAACTCAAGATCCTGTCTGAAAAAAAAAAAAAAACGAAAGGGGTGAGGATGTAGCTTAGTTGAAGGCCTCAATCTCCAGTATCACATACATATATACATGCATACACATACATGCGTACATACAGTAATATATAGATCCCAAAGAACAAGGACAACCCAATTGAGAAAGAACAACCCAATTGAGAAAAATGGAAACCAAAGTTCATGTAGAGAGGTTAAGTGACTTGCCCACTGTCCAACAAGTAGAAATTCTACAAGAAGCTCCACTAGTATTTATCTCTACAAAGACAAGTCATTCACTTCACAAAATTTAAAACAAGTTCAGTATATGACAATACCTTTTTCCAGTTTCAGCCAGGATAAAACGAAGTAGAAATAGCTGCATCCCAGGAAAAGCCCTAATACAAAGAGGAGTATAAAAAGATCTTCATTGCTTCATCACTACGGCCAAAAAGAGTTAAAACTCTTTGAATCAAGGATCACCACAGAAAAGACAGTGGTGAGAATTATTCCTACCTTCTGAGCAACAAAGATGCCTATACTGAAGATAATCAAGCTTTTCAAGTGTGTAGATTACCTCAGATCTCATGCTGTAGCCCTCACCATTATTTTGTGATAAACTATATACTTGGATACGAAGGGAAAGGGTAAGACTACAGGCTTCTCCATTTTCCTCAGATTTTGTCATCTGTTAGGTTCAAATAATTTCAACATTTAAAGTATAGTAACAAAACAAACTGACCTTAGAAAGAACCAAAATCAGTTCAGTAAAGAAGAAAAGTACGCCTTCAAAAATGTAAACTTAACAATTTGCACCTGTTAATCAAAAATGTTTTGCCTTCAACAAATGTCAAGAATTTATGACAAATCTCAATAATAATACATAGTAACATACATCTCTGGATCACAACCACAATAATAATCACTGCTACACAAGCCAAAGTTTCATCAGGAGGAATATATGACATATAAACTCAATACGCACATGACAATAATATGATGTTACCTTCAGGCTGGGAGCATAGCTCATAGTAGAGCACATGCCTGGCATACAGCGAGGTGCTGGGTTCAACGTCCAGCACCAAAATAAATAAATACATGCATAGATAATTTCTAAGGGTTACAGATACTGAATTTAAAATAAATTTCAATCAACCTCCTGAGTACTCATGAACACATATCAGAACTATAACCTTTGCACTGGGTTAATGGATTATCTCTTCCACAAAACCCTTAACGTATTTTTAAGCACCACTGCAGGGCTTTGTTAAAAAGTAAATAAACAAGTAAATCAGAGTTTGAACACAGAACCACTAGAAGAGGACATGAACTGCTGCTCTAGCAATTACTCATCCTGTAAACTACAGCTGACGGTGCTCCAACTCTTCAGCCACACCCACGGACCTAGCAGGGCGCAGTGCATGCCACACATTAAGAAATACCCTCAATATCTAATAAAAATAAAGTCTACACATGAGGGCCGATAAATGAATTAGTAAAAGAAAAATTAACAAGGCCCACAAAAGTCAAAGACAAGTCAGCCAGGAGGGAAGCTGGCCAGAACAGTGTGTGTGTCTGGGGACTGTGACGCTTCTGGTGTCTGAATGAGTCCTGCACTTTACAGTGTGGCCTGAGGGTAACCGCACTCGAGCCACAGACGGGGAGCCTCTTCTGACGCCTGATCTTGCTCTAGAAACCTGCAAAAACGATCATCACTGAGAATTACGCTGGACTTGTTTTCGATGTTTTGGTCTATTTTTAAGATGTACAGCCAGGTGTGATGGTGCACACCTGTAATATCAGCACTTGGGAGGATGAGGTAGGAAGATTGCTGCAAGTTCAAGGCCAGTCGGGGCTACACAGTGAGTTCAAGGACAGTCTAAATTATTGTCTCAAAATAACAACAACAGAAACAACAACAACAACAACAACAACAAAAACCTACAACTCACTGTTATGATTGATCAACTTCTCTTCTTTACTCTGCTTCTAAGAAATGACAAACAACTTGGGGCACTTACCATGTAGAGGCGGCCCCTGTCCTAGAACTGTTATTCTGGGATGTGACAGAGAGTAAAGAACCCATGCCCCTCACTTTTGGTGCCCATGCCTGGGTGGATGAGAGTGTTTGGAGCACAGAGTTCTAAGGCAGTTAAACTACCTCACAACTACTAACAGTGAAACCTTTTGAGGCCAGAGTATAAACTACCTTCATTAATTTCATAAGAGAAACTGGAGATAGAATATAAATTGGTGAACTATGTTTCATATATGACAATTCTAGAGTACTACTTCAGAAGTAAGCTGATGCCATCTCTATACTCATAAGGACAAAACCCCACAAATACTTTTGCCCCTATGACCACAAAAGGCACAGACCAAAGAAATTCCAGGACCTTCCAAGCACTTCGTGTGTCTGGTCCACAGAAGGGTCCTGTCACTCCTCTTCTCCCCAAGGTGGAGAGCACCCAGGTACAGAAACATCACTTAGCTTTGGGCAGAGAGAGTCACGTCACCTCCTGTCTCCTTTGAGCGCTTTCAACCCAGAGCCCTACCAGCAAACCACCAGGTCCCCCTCCGCTAGCCTCAAAACCTGCTAAGCCTGCTTAGTGAACAATGCCTGTCCTGCAGGCCAGGGTAATTTTAGAAACTGCTTCATTTTGCTAAGATTCACTATTATGATTTGCTCAAAACAGCCAAAGACCTTGGAAGTGAGTAGGCTACCAGTTTCTATCACAAGTGGTACTACCACCATAGGATCTTAACCAATTTTTGAGGGAAGTCTGTGTGTGACCTCACTTTTAATAAACACTAACGATTTGTAACCTTCTTTACTAGTCTATAAAAGACTTATTAAAAACTGCATTTACCATAAATAACTAGCTGGGCCTGGTAGTACACGCCCTGTAATCCTCGGGAGTTCAAGGCCAGCCTGAACTATAGTGAATTCAAGGCCACCCTGACTACACAGTGAGACCCTGTTTCTAAAAAACAAAACAAAAAAAAACAAAACAACTAAAATTTATTTATATCATCATTTAAGCAAACTTTTCTGCAGGTCTAAAAGTTTAAAATCTAGTATCCATGCTAGAGAAAATAGGTGCACTAAGGTAGACAGAAGAACTGACAAAACTAATATCTACAAAGCCATAGATTACCAAATACTACCAGTGATGGCACACCGTTTAGAGACAAGTGCCCAAACTGCACACCTGTAATGCTAGCACTTGGGAAGCTGAGGCAGGAGGACAGTGGCAAGTTCAAACCAGCCTGAACTACATAGCAAGACCCTGTCTTGTAACCTGTCCCTGTAAAGAAACTTAGAAATTAAAACTGACAAATATTTCTAATCTCTTAGAAACTCATTTCAAAATAACAATAAATCCACTATGTATTAACATAAATAACATTTATGAAAAACAATTACATCCTCCCAAACAAAAAATAGAAAAAGTGGCATCGTTTTTACATTTTTTACAAGTTCCTTTAATGCCTGGCTGAAATGAAGACAGCTAGACTCTCTTATCTCCTGCAATGAATCTGTTAGTTGGTATGTGAAGAAAATATGGGCCTCACACTGATTCATGATTTTTAAAGGGAGTACTATAATACCTTTCTCAGAAAAATGAGTTATTGTTCTTTGATAAAACCAAAGTCAACAAGTGATTGTGTCTTAAAAGGTTAGTTACAATGTAGAATCTGAAACTCTTATCAATTACATTGAAACCCACTGACAGATCTCATACCTTGGATGGATCTGTTACACAAGATCTTGTAACATCATGTAGTAGCTGTATGAAAAGACTGACTCATTAAGTGGCTCTTTCAAATGTTGGCTTTTTGTTTGTTTGTTTGTTTGTTGAGATTCTTGCGGTTGAACCCACCTATGTCCCCAGCCCCCTGTCCCTCTCCTCTTTCTTTTGAGACAGTAGTATCTCCCTAAGTGACCAAACTGCCCAGGCTGAACTAGAATTTCTAATCCTGCCTCATCCTCCCAGAGTGCTGGGGTTATAGGCATGCACCACCATGCCTAAATGCTCACACATTTCCCCATACACTATCACATTAACTAAATACCACCAACCCCATCACATAAATCACATTCACTAAATACCACCAACCCCATCAGCGTACTGTCGAGCTTATGATGGTAGAGGCAGATTTTCCAAAATTCAAAATTTCCACTTAAAACTTGAATTTTATCATTGCCAATAAGCACTTGAGGTGACAAATTTACTAGACTTGGCTATAAGTCATTCTTCTGAGAAAAATTATGTCCCACTGGGGAAAAAACCCTAGCTAGTTCATCGTGGCACACAAACTATCACAAGCGTTTTTCCTGCGGAATGTAGCCTTTGGTACTCAGCACAGGTGCTGTGAGCATCCACTTCATGATGCAGAATATTGAAGAGTATGTCCTCAAAGGTCAGGATTTGAATGTCACTGCCAATTTTTCCTGCTTCATCAAGGACATTCTTAAATGAAGCTGGCTTTGTTGCACTGTGAATGACTGCCAATGGAGAACACAATGACTACAGTTTGCTGCCACTGACTTGATTCAAACTGGAAACAACAGTTTACCCTTGTTTTTGTACTATCAGTGCAAACAGTAGCACTGAGAAGAGGAAAGTAACATCTTGGCGATTAGAAAAGCAGTTTCGTCCTAGCAAACCTTCTGAAAGTGTCCTCAGCCTCACCCAAGGTTCTATGTACCGCACTCTGCAACCTGCTGCTCTACGCTGAGGTAGCCCTGTATACTCAGGAAGGTCCTGGCTGTCAGCTGACGGAACCAAGTGTGGACACAGGCTGAGACGTCCGCCCCAACACAGCAGCACATCCAGCAAAACAGAAAGCAAGCTTTGAAACTTATCCATAAAAGGGGGAGTTAAAAAGGTTTAACACAAGAGACCTGGGTGTGGTGGTGCACAATTGTAATTCCAGCTACTCAAGAGGCTGAGGTAGGAGGATCACAAGTTCCAGGTCAGCTGGGCAGCTCAGACCTTGTCTCAAGATGAAAAATAAAAAGGGCTGGGAATGCAGCTCAGTGGTAGAGCACCCCTGGCTTCAAATCCCAGTACTGAAAGAGAGGAAACTTGACTGTCCAGTTTCCATCGCAGCAAGGCAGGGAAGAGAGCCAGGAACTTTACAACAGACGTGTGCCCTTGCTCGCCAGCAAATGCAGGCTGCTCCTGTGCCCGCCCTTGCCTACCACCATATGCACACAGCCTCAGAGGGAAGAGAGGGAGTGTGGCTACTTGTTTTTCCTTTCCTTTCTATTTCCCCCTATCTTTAATAAAGTTGTATTACTGGTGGTAGAAAATTATTTTTTTCAAACAGTTTTGCCGTGTGGTCCAGTCTGGGCTCAGGTGGATGGGCTCGAGGGATCCACCAGTCTCGGCCTCCTGAGAGGTGGGACTCCAGCTGCACCACAATACCTGGCTAGTGGTGGGAATGTCTGAGACACTACACTTCCTCACATCACTGGACTCTTCTCTATAGAATGAATGCTCTCAGACGCAGCTTGCCAGATACCAGTGGCTCTCAATTTTTTGCTTAAAAAAAAAAAAGTTGAGCAAGCTATCCAAAGACAACAGACTTCAGCAGCACTATAAATATTCTCTTGAACTGGAGTTTTGGCTGGAGGGCAGCGAACGTAACTCATTTTCTATGGAGAAATGCTCCCTCTTCAAAGAGATGAGATTATTTTGAATAAGTAAAAGAAAATTAAAGAACAATTCATAGGTTCTATGTGAGTATCTGTACTGGAACTAAAGGCAACCCAGGATCTCACATACACTAGACAAACACCCTACCACCAAGCTACACTCCCAGCTCATTTCTAAAATTTTTATTTTGAGAAAGGGTCTCGCTAAATTGTCCAGGTTGGCCTTGAACTCATAATCCTCCTGCCTCAGCCTCCTGAATAGCTGGGATTAAAGACACATACACTGTGGCCAGCTGACTGATGGGCTTGATAAGTATAAACCATACTATCTCCCAAGTAAGCTCTCAGGACCTTAGGAAACAACAGCTCTCTCAATAATGATTTAGTGTCAATAACACTTGCTGTAGAAAGGGAGCTGGGAATGCAGTAGCCCTTGAATTCTGGAGATAACATACGGGTTCTTGAACTATGTTCTTCTGTTATGCCCAAACTCTGGACAGGGCAAAAGCTCATGAGGCAACTCTTTCATTAAGATGCTAAATAAAGGCAGCAAAATAGCAAAAATAGCATACCCTGATGTTAGAATTCAGATATACTCCTTTGAAAAATTCTTAAATCTCTAAAACTGTCATTCTATATTCTCATCGATTTTGCCAAAACTGATATGTGACTGGCATTATGCCTGTAACTGTCCTGAAAGAATTCACCAGCTAAGCTTCATTATTATTAGGCATTAAGAATTCCCATGGCTCCCTGCCCTCAATAGTTTAGCATTATAGGGCTCATACACTAATTGCATGGACTCCAGGTGAATATGCAGCTGCCCTCAGAGTGAGCTCTGCACACAGATGGCACAGAAGGGCAACGATTCAAGATCACATGATGTCCCCAAAGCCACAAGTGCTATGAGAAGGACTTTTAACTTCGGGGAAGGTGATGGGCTCAGTGTTAGGCAGGCTAGGATTGAAGTAATGGTAAGGCAACCAGATGGAAATGTTCACTAGGTAAGGAGAACTACTAAGGCACTAGTTACACTAGGTTTACTTTCTCAGACTGGAAATAGAGATCTGAATAATGCCAAAACACGGCAATCTATACAGAGTATGATACCTACTCCACTGACAATGTATATATAGGTTCTAAAGAAACACTGGCAACAGAGTCTTTCTGAAAAACCCTACTGTTACAGAATGACAAAAGTTTGCTTGAAAGAAAATGTACATACTATAGGTAGAAATGCAGAAATCTCTCTTACCTATAAATATTCAGGCTATGATTTTTATGTAAGCAAAACATTAATAGGAACACATCATATTTATGAATTAATTCATTCTTTTATTCCCTCAACAAGACTTCTCAGGAGCCTGCCATGGAGCAGTACAGACAACAGAAGCTCAGAAGATAGAAAAGAAAGACAGAAACAAGTACATCAGCTTGGGTGCAGCACAATTCTTAAAAAAAAAAACAAACTATGGTAAAGAATTAGGGAGTGACAAAATGGGATAGGGAGCGGAAGGAGGCTGTTCCTTGTGAAAAGCTTCTCAGATCATTTTCAGGAAAAAATCTAAATGAAGAAAAGCAAAAGTCATAGGGAGAAAGTCAAAGGGTTACAGTCATCACATTCCAATAATCAAGTAGGCAACTGCTCAAAAAATGTTAAAAATATAAAAAGGATATATTTTATATACCTCTTTATGAGGTTTTAAAAGTGAATAGGATGAACTCATAATAGATACAATTTACCTTTTTTTCCAGATCCCCTGAAGAATATTCCTCTTCTGATGGATGCCTGAAACATAGATTATGCTGGTGCCACCACATCCACCAAGACCCCCACTACAGACAACGGTTAATCTGAAGAAATAGGTTAAAATGATGCAGCTGACAGCCTCAATTGGCTTTCTAATTTTAAAAAATCCTAATAATGACACTTATAACTGGGAACACCTCACAATGTTGTAGCACACATCTGATTAGCATCTAGTGGACTAGGTCCACTCTGTAGCTAAGGTCCCTCACAATGGGGTTTATGATGTCACAGTGGAGCTGTGAATGTCACAGACCTACTGGGCCTGCACTCAGGACAGTTAGTAAAGGATTACAAAGACGTAAATCTACAATATAGCAGATTGCTCTATCAGCTCTGCTACCTGAGAAGTCAAATCTCTGTATTACATAGCTTCATGTCAAGAGCTATGATGACAATCTACTAAGACTCTAAGCAAGAAGTTGAAAACTATCGATTTCTATGTGTTCAGGCAACTCAAGAAAGTCTTCTTCTATGGAAAAAAAGAGGTTATCAAGACTATCTCAAATATTTTAAGGATGAAAGCAGGAAAATAAGAATATTTCACATTTTGAACACTTAAAGATGTAAAATATTTCACTTTAATTTTTAAAACTAGTTGTGGTAAATGAAAATACAGTTATTTTTATCTCTATTCTCCATAATAAGTCTAAAGAAGTGCTGTCGCCTCATCCTGTGTGTGTATGCAGGGCTGAAACCAACGTCATCTGAACCCTGTAATCTGAGTAAAGCAGGGGGAAGTACGTAACTGTTTCCAGTGTTATAAATATGACCAAACTTTATGTCTCTAAAAAGTCACCCTCGAAAGCAAAGTAGGTATCAAAATCAAGTCATTCTTCATTATATAGAGGAATTCAAGAGTATATTTTGGTAATTTTTCAGTAAACAGTTAAGAGTCCTTTGTTCTTAGTTCATCTTTTAATCCATACAGTGTCTTGCATTTCCTATTTATACTATATGGAGCATCAGCTAATATGCTCCTGTGTGCTTCACTTATCGTCATTTGAAAGTACTACACCTGAAAATGAGTATGGTCTTTATGGAAGTCAAAACTCTACAGGCACTAAAACTGCGCAAGCGTGCATGTGCACATACGTGCGTGTGTGTGTTCTGAGGGCTGAGCCAGGGCCCCCGCTGAGCTAGCTCTGCAGCCCTTTTCTACTCTTCCTGTGAAGATAGCGTCTGAGTAAACTGCGATTATCCTAAGTCCCACCGTGCTGAGTTGCACACATTTGCCACCGTGCCCAGTAACACACTTAAAAGTCAATTTTGGATTCAGTAAGGCTGAAACTAATCATAATTTACCGGCCAAATATATGTCCAAGTAATAAGTGCACAAGGAAAGTAAATTGATACTGAGCCCAAAAATTTCAAAAAGGTATTTATGCAGCAGGCATAAGGCTAAACAATGAATACAGATCATTTCTAATAATGAGGAAGAAATGTACATTCTCAGAGCCATAAACCATAGAATATGCTTAAAAACTACTGCTCAAGCCAGATGTGCTGGTACATGCCTATAATCTTAGCACTCTTTTTTTTTGTACAGGGAATCAAACTCAGGCCCTTGCGCTTGCCACGCAGGTGCTGCGGCACTGAGCTCTCTCCCCAGCCCAAACTTAGCCCTCTTGAAGCCTGAGGTAGGAGGACTGCAAGTTAAGTCCAGCCTGGGCAGCCTGGGCAACTGAGCAACCTAGCAAGATCTTCCCTCAAAATAAAAAATAAAAGGGGCTGGAGATGCAGCTCAATCCTAATGCCCTGGGTTGAATCCCCAGTGACACCCCCTCCCCGCAAAAAACTCACAAAACACTTGCCTAAATTTCACATTTTTATTTCTGACCTAAATGGACTGTTTGTTTCCAGTGCCGGATGTCAAGCCCAAGACCCCAGTTGTGTTAAGCAAGCACTCCAACCTGCCGGCCCCTAAAACCAAGTCTGTAACACTATCTATGAAGCAGTCGAAATGCACTTCATTTGCATTTCATCCTACTGCATTTCTTCTGCCAATCATTTGGTACAACTCTATAGAGCACTGAGTTGGCAAAAGCAACTTAAACATAAACAAAATGGGCCAGGGATATAGCTCAGTGACACAAGTGCCCGCCTGGCAAGCACGTGGTCCTGAGTTTGATTCTCAGTATCAAAAATAAATAAATAAATAAAATAACAAAATGTAACATATACTGTATTTCCGTTGGAATGTTGTATTCAGTCTACAAAAGGAAATAAATCCTGTCACATACCACAACACAGATGAACCTTGAGGAAACTATGCTAAATAAAATAAGCCTGTCACAAAAAGACACGTAAGATTCCACTCATTGGAGGAAGCTGGTCAAATTTCATAGGAACCAAAAGTGGAATGGGGGTACCAGGGACCAGGGGAGAGGGAAAAAACTGTTTAATGAGTAGAGTTTTAGATATGCAAGATGAAAAATTTCAGATGTTTCACAGCAATGTGAATACACACTTAACACTATCTTAACTGTATGTTTAAAATGGCCAAGTTGTTATTTTTAATAATAAAAAAAAGTAATACTTATGGCTCCAAATTTGGTAGCTATGGTTATTAACCAGCTTCATGCCAGGGTAATATTCAACCAACTGATTTTACTAAATGGCAGTGAGATTGACTGCCTTATCATCTTAAAAGCTGTAATTCTAAAGCTCTAGATGTACTCATGGCCCCAGAATTACAGTTCAACAGACAGAATGGTCAAGTGGCAGCAATTACAGGGAAATAATTACTAATGCATCAAAACAGGTAAAATTTACAATTTCTAAGCTGAGCATGGTGGCACATGCCTGTAATCCCAGCACTTGGGAAACTGAGAGAGAAGGATTACAAATTTGAGGCCAGCTTGGGATACAGGGTAAATTCAAGGTCAGTCTCAGCTACCAAGTGAGCTCAAGGCCAGCCTGAACTGCACAGCAAGATGCTATCTCAAAAAGATAAAAAAAAGAATGAATGAATAAATAAATAAATAAATAAAATTTCTATGCTCTTTACACACAAGGTTAGAAGTTGAATTAGGTCAATCTTCAGTACTACAAAATAAAAAATAAATTACAAAAGAAGTTGAATTAGTATCTAAATATACAATTATATTCTCTGTGACTGAATAATGAAGGAGTAACAGTATACATCTATATGCACAACAGTGACTATGTAGTACTATGTATATATAGTACTATATAGAGATATAAGTACACAGTATTATATACACATATTATGTTTTATAGTACACATGTATATATAATTACTGTGTAGTAATGTATATATACAGTACCTATACACACTAGTATATGCTATGTAGATTATATACACAGGATACAATTATCTGATATCTGGATTTTTCTAGGAGATGCTCTCTGCAACTATAGTTCAACACTGAATATCTACATACTATAGTTATTACTAATGGAGTGGTTAATCAAATCTAAAGCCAGATCACTGGGCCCAAATGGTGGCTCTGCCTTTTACTCACTGTGTGACCCAGGAGAAATTATTCAGACTCTCTCCCTGTCCACCTCAACACAAGAATGAAAGCAGAAGCACTGAGGACAGGGTCTGGTCCATACAAAGGGTTCAGTAAACCTTCCTTTCATTATTTTTATTATGCTACATTTCATTTAAATAATTTGTCAAGAAAGTCGAGCTTAAATAATATATAAGCATGTGTAACTGTATGAACTATAAGGATTAACACTCAAAAACAAATCTTACCCCAAAATGGAGGCACACAAGAATGCAGAACGAATGATCTATATAAAAGAAGTCAAGCCCGGTGTGGTACGGCACGCTTGTAACTCCAGCATTCTGTGAGGCCGAGGCACGATGATCACAACAGACTCAGTCTGCAACTTAAATTAGTGAGACCATGACTCAGAAAAAAGGCTGGAGATGCAGCTCAGTGTAAAGGCCCTTCGTTCAGTCCCCAGTGCTACAAAAACAAAACTGTTAAAGTAAAACACAATGGTATTTATAAAGGAGCAAATACAACTTTAAAAATTGTTTTGGAAAAACAATACACCTACATGCCTGTAAACACAACAATATTTAAAAATGAGTAAGTAAAACTGTTTTAACTTTTAAAAAATAAAACAAAACAAAAACAAAAAACGTAGAAGTCAAAATCTGAATCAGTGACAAGACATGGCTAAAGCAAATTAAATTCATAAGTTTTTTCAGCTCCTCTACAGTCAGACTTCTTAAAGAGTAAAGCCCAAATATTTACTTCCAAAAAGAAAAAAAATGACAGTGACATGTGGTCTTACCATGAAATCTAAAATTCATTATACCATAAAATGATGGCACATGTCTGTAATCTCAGGCACTCAGGGGCCCAAGGTGGGGAATCACAAATTTGAGGTCAGTCTGGCATACTTAGTCAGGCCCTGTCTCAAAATAAAATGAAAAAGGGCTGAGAATATAGAGCACATGCCTTGCATGTGTGAAGACTTGTCTCGCCTGGGCCAATATTGCTAAACACCAATATTGCTAAACAAATAAATAAATGAACTGGATTTTCAGCACTAGAGTAGCCTGAGAGAACTTTTGCAATGTTTAAAATATCCAGAAGAGCCGGTTGTGGTGGCACATGCCTGTGACCCCAGCACTTGGGAGGCTGAGGCAGGAGGATCACCACAAGTTTCCGGCCAGCCTCGGCTCCTAGTGAGTTCAAGGCCACCCTGAACTACATAGCAAGACCTTCTCTCAAAAAACAAAACAAAATAAAACAAAAATAGCTAGAAAAAAATCTAAAGGACCTAAATTTAGAGAATTAAAACAAAATTTTAAATAAGCTCTTGGCATCAGATTGCCAGAACTTTGCTTATAAAGCAGACAAAAGCTAGTTTTTCTTCTTTACCCCCTCTGGAGGCCTATTAAGCATGACAAGTAAATTTAATGTTATGTTGGAATAGATTACTAAGACCATTTTATGCATTTATTTATTTTTGTGGAGCTGGGAAACAAACCTAAGATCTTCCACACACTAGGCAGGCTCTTTATTACTGAGCTATATCTCAGCTGTACAAGGTATATGTTTAAACCAGCATAAGCACTTCATCTTATGGCCTACTAATACAATTTTAAAACAGAGGCATGTCTACTACAAAGCAAACATTTATTGCAAGTCTACCACATGCCTTTTTTTTTTTTTTTTTTTTTTTTTGAGACAGCGGTCACTATGCTTTC